AAAAAAAAAAAAAAAAAGAATTATATAAAAAAATCATTGTTTACCGAGAAATAATGTAATACTTCAATAAATATTAAAATCTAAATTAATAAATAGGTAATAATTAATAATGAGTAATGACTAATGATCATCTTCTTTTTACTGTATTTTAGAGCATTATTTTATACAAATATAATTTAAATTATCATTCCTAAGTTAATGATTTTTTTTTATGTACATCATATTTTTACCTTCTATTAAAAAAAACAAAAAATTCAACATAATATTTCTAAAAAATATAACTGACATAAAAATTTAAATCCAAAATTGTCAATATGGTATGAAGACATATCTAAAATTCACTTTTTATGAAAAAAAGTAACCTCAATAAGAATAAGAATTTCAAAATTTAATTATTTTTAAATTATATATTAGTTTGTAAAAATTCTTAGTCTTTTACTATGAACATTTAGATTTAATAATATTCTTATGTTCTACAGCAGTGACTCATTCTCATGAACAACATACTGTACAGATTCCAGGACCACCTCCAAAAAGACAAAAACAATTGACACTTATGAATAGGTAATATTATTAATATTTCATATACTTAAGTACTATTTTGTACAATCGTACACATACAAATATACCTATTACCTATTTATATTTTAAATTATAATACTTTATATTTTATAAATCAATGATGCAATTATTTGTTGGTAGGTTTAGCTTACCACCTGAAAGTAAAGTGGACCAATTCTACAAAGCTGTTGTTCAAATGATTGCGGAAGATATGCAACCATTATCAATTGTAGAAAACAGTGGATTTCAAAAACTTATTAACCTACTTGATTCACGTTATAAGTTGCCTAGTCGCAAACTCATTGGAACAACGCTTATACCAAATTTGTATGAATCAACTAGACATAAGATTGAAACTATTTTGTCTCAAGCAAAATATGTATCACTTACATCAGATGTTTGGACTTCATTGAATACAATATCATTTATAACTGTGACTGTGCATTTTTTTGACATTGATTTAAATTTAAAAACATATGTATTAACCACCAGAAAACTAGAATCTAATCATACAGCACAGTATTTATCTGAAGTACTTACAGATGTAATAAAAGAATGGAATATAGAAGATAAAATTGTTGCAATTGTAACAGACTCGGGTGCAAATATTAAGGCAGCAATAAGATTACTTGGACTTAATCATATCCCATGTGTTGCTCATAAATTAAACAATGCTGTAAAAAATGCATTAAGAAGTGATTTCGATGAAAGTGAAATTGAAACCGACCACACTGAAGATGTTGAAATTATGAAGCTGGTTAAAATGTGTCGTTCTATTGTTGGCCATTTTAAGCACAGTGAGGTATCAACCAGGGCTCTTCATGAGAAACAAAAACAACTTAATTCTCCAATTCTTAAGTTAAAACAAGACATGCCAATTCGTTGGAATAGTACACTAACAATGATGGAATGTTTGTTGATAGTCAAAGAACCTTTGATGCTGGTTTCAATGAGCTTATCAAGATGTCCAAAAATGCCATCAAATGACCAATGGGAAAGTATAAACGATTTTGTTATACTTTTAAAACCGTTTGAAAGCTTAACTATACAAATATCCTCAGAACAGCGACCAACCTTAGCAAAAGTTATTCCATTATTAAGAGGTAGGTAATACTAAATATCTGTACACTAAGTAGAACACCTACTGTAATTTTAATTTTGAATAATATTTTCTTATTTACCTATATTCAATAGGTTTATTATTATCAGTTAATAATAAGAATCCAGTGACGTATACAGGCAAGTTTTTAAAGAAAAAATTGCTTGAAGAAACAACAAAAAGATTTAATGATATTGAAGAAATGTATCCATCACATTTATACTCTAAGGCTACTATATTAGATCCTCGATTTAAGAAAGCTGCATTTATATCAAATGAAAATGCCAATACAGCTGAACAAGAAGTTCAAAAAGAGATAGCTGACTACATTAAAACTAATGGTAAATTAGTTTTATACAATTAGTTTTTCTGCTTTATACATTTTTTTTTTTTCATAATAGATAATTATTATTTACATCACCAGCCAAAAATTAAAAAGTTTATGTTTCACAGTAAAAATATCTAGTACAAATATATTTTTAAAAGTTTAATTATTTCTACTAAAATTTTTGTTAATAATGACCACTATAACATATAAAATTACAAATTATGAATTATAATTTATAAACTATAATGTATTACAAAACATAATAAAGAAAATATATATTTAAACAAAATAAAGGTTTAACCTTTTAGCTTATAAAATTCTTAAAATACAAACTATTATAGTACACATTATATTCCATGTCCTATAAAACCGTTCAGTATTTATAGTTTTTTAATTTTTTTGTAAATATATAAATACAAATTTATTCTTTAAGTTATCATCAACCTATTTCGTATCTATGACTTATGTATAGGTACTGTTTATTGAATTAATTTAAATTTTTACATTTATAGAAAATTATAGCAATTAATTTTTTTTATAGATTATTAAATTGTATTAAAACATGATAAATATAACTTAAATATCTAAACAAAATGAATAAAATAATAAATTTATAAACATCTTAAATGATGAATAACTATATTAGTATGTTATTTAAATCCATTATGAATTAGGTATGATGTATGAAATATGAACCATAAACTATTATAAGTATGAACTATAAACTATAAGCTTAATTAATAATTAGGCAACTAAAAAGAAATTTAATTTTAGTTCAAATGTGTAAAACTGCAAACTGATTTTAATAAACCATACTTTAATTTGTTTTATTTAGAATTTACATTCAAATTAATTTTATCTAATTAATTTTATTTAGCCCCTGAGAGAAATATACTTGAACAAAGTGTATATCACACCACTTTGACAACTGCAGAACAACTAGAACACAGCAGTCAACCCGTTTCTTTACAAGAAAATTTATTGACATATTTAGAAGCAACAGTCACCACACTTCGGTCTCAGACAACATATTCTAGTACAGCAGCAACATTATTCAAACAGTACATGAATATCGAATTTTTAAACATTCAAGATGATCCAATATTGTTTTGGAAAAATAACAAACAAATGTTAGGTGCATTGTGTGAAGTAGCTTTGAAATACTCTTGTATACCTGCTACATCTGTGCCATCGGAGAGAGTATTTTCTAAAGCTGGTCAAATAGTCAGTGCCAGACGAAATAGATTATTACCAGATAATGTGGATAAACTTATATTTTTAAATGCAAATTTAGAAAGATAAATGATTTTGATTTCCATTGTCTTATCTTATATTATTTTTACTAAAGGATTTTAAATGTTAAGTTTTTTAAACAATTTATGATTTTGTTTTTTTTGAATTTTAAAGATTTTGTTATGTAGTGAGTTGTAATATTATAAATAAATAATGCATTTTAAGAACTTGCTGTACACGTTTTAAAGTTATATATTTAATATTTATTATTAGCTAGTCACATTTTGGTTCAAATACTTTTTAATTTATCATTAAAAAAAGTTTAACCATTCAAAATAATTAGATTATTTTATTTTTAGGAAACTAAAATATTTTTTACAAAAAGTTAGGTAAACATTTTATTTTAAATATTTAAATAGACTATTGATTATAATATTTCAAATGTAATATAACATGATTATATTACTTCATATTTGTTCAAATAGTAAATAGTAAATACTCTATTACGAATTTTTTATTTGATAATTCTAAATTCACTTGGAAAAAAACAATGAAAAAAAATGTAATGGCTTAAAACAGTTAAAACTCTAAAAAGAAACTATTCGTACTATTCGACTATTCGAACTATTCGACTATTCGA